AATCTCACTTCCAGGGGGAGAAGATTCCTGTCAGTCCCAGTCCAAGAACAACAGCGAAACAGTCCAACTGAGTTCAGTTCCTTTATTGCTTACAACATATAGACAAAATCTTGCCAGAATAAATTTGTACTACTGCAAGTAGTGGATATACCCTGGGAGATTCTAGGGAGTGGCTATTTTAAACCTCTTATACTTCCCACGCTCCTGCTCTGGACTGTGTTGTCTCTTGTCCCTCTGTCCTTCTTGGAATGTGCCTCCTCCTTTCTGAGAACCTTGCTCTCTTCTGCAGTCCACCATGTCTCCACAAGGCAGGGCCCACGGCAGAGAAGCCCCCACCTCCTGGGACCTGCCAAATGGAATTCCCTGCCAGGTGGAACCCGCAGCATGCCCTCTTTGCCAGACCTGATGGGATAGTCAGATCTAATTGGAGAGAGGTGGTCCCTCAAATAACCCAGCCCCATGCCATGAAGAATTTTAAAGGTCAAAAACAGCCCCTTGAATTGCAAACTGGCAACCAATGCAGCTCGTGGAGCAGAAGTATAACATGTGCCCTTCTAGGGCACACATAACTCCCTGTGCCGCTGCATTTTGCACCAGCTGAAATGTATGGATACTCTTCAAGGGCAGTCCCATGTACAGCGCATTACAGAAGTCCAAATGGGAGGTGACCAGGGCATGAGTGACAGCGAGCAGAACCCCCTGATCCAGGAATGGGTGAATGTAGATAGTATATAGCTAATTGTGAATATAAGTCCTGAAATGATGTCATTGGTTCTATTATTATTGTTGGTCACATAGTCAGTCAGATGTTTAGACTAGATTTGGCATTTTTATCCACCCATTGAGTCCTTCCCAAGGACCTGGGATAAGCAGATGTTGTTTTCTCCAGTTCTTTGTCTTCTATTCTGCTGTCTCCAGGTATTGCAATGTCCACTATCCAGACCTTTTTTGTCTTTCTTATCAACAATATCCAGACTTTTTTGTCTTTCTTATCAACAATGTCGTCATCGTCAATGTCGTCATCATCATCATTTTCTCCATGATGATCTGTCCCTAAACTGGTCCTTCAGGTTTTCCAGTGTTGCACCCATCTCTGCTGTAACTGAGTTGATCCACCTTGCTGCTGGTCGTTTTAGAAAGGCATTAATTGAAGTACAATGTTTCTATCCTGTTTGCATTGCATGAATTTTTAATTAATATTTATTTATTAAGGAACTAAAGAGAGTTACATCAGATGTGATAAAGTCCAAGGTCACTTGTCAGTATAAAGTGGGAGAAGATCTCAGTCTAAAGGCAAAGGAACAGGAGCTACAAATACTACGGCAAAAAAATTCAGTGGTATTTGCTAATATTTCTTATTAATTTAGAAAAAGAGCTTATGATTATTTTTAGAGGGTGTCTTTAAATATTATATTATTGGGCAGCTGTAATTAATGTATTTGTGACCGGCTGATTGAATGTTAAATAATTTTGCTTAATAGCTCCTACATGATGTAAGATTTTAAGTTCATGTTACATTTTATTGTGTATTACAATTAACATACTATTGAGTAGTAAACACTAATGTATAATAATGGCATTGAATTCCCCTTACATTGTTTCCTATTATTGGAACACCTTTTGGCTCCTCTTTTAGATATGTGGAGTTGTGCTGTTAGTATAAAACAGTATAAAAGGACCAGCGGAATTGATCCCAATGTGTTTATTTTATTTATAGGAAGCAGATTTAAATGGCAAAATCACTGAAGAAATTGGAAAACTTAAAGAAGAGAAACAGGTTATGTTTGACATCAACTATCAATTCTGCTTTCTGCATAGTGGGGCCCATATTGTGGTATTAATTGTCACAGGAGTTGAATTATTTCCTCTCTTTACAACAGAACAGGAGGGGCCTAAAGATATATGCGTGCATGTGTGTGTGTCTATATGTAGATGAGTGTGTGTGTGTGTATGTGTATGTATGACATTTTTCTCTAAGCATGAATTATTATTACTGTATGCTGTTCCCTCGATCCCTCTTGATTGGGTCACACACACTCTTCCTGCATCAACACAGGTTTGGTCACACAATTCCTCTATCCTAATACCATGGTGACCCAAATAACTATGATTGTCAGTCCTGCACATACCTTTTCACAGCACCTTTCTCACTCTCCTTTCTGGGAATTACCTGCTTTCTGGGGAAATAAATGGATTTATTACTTCAGCCTGCTGACTTTCCATCTTATTTATTTATTTAGCAAATTTAAATGGCTGCCCACTCATACACAGTGACTCTGGGCAGCCTGCATCTTATTGTATGGGTCCTCTGCCAGTCTTTCTCAGAGCTGATTCTGGTGATTCTAGAGGCTGTATGTAAGGATTCTTCTAAATATGCTAAGTGTTTAATAGAAATGTCCCTCACTTTTCACTAAATCAAACAATTTTAATTCAGTTATCTGTTCCTTCCTTTTCTTTTTTCACTTACAGTAAAACTCAGACCCTTGCTGTTGCCTCCTCAAAGTTTAGCTTGCTGAGATTTCAGCAGCACATAACATATTTTAATGGTTTAGGTTTTTTTCACTTCTAGTTATCAAACATTGTAAAAAGTCTTCTCAATACGTACTGTCCTGTTTGCAATCAAATCCTTACTTGGAGTACCTCCATAGTTCTTAATGTCTTTTATCTCTGAATATTTGAATCTATGGCCACAATGGACCTCACTTTGAAGGCAGCACTCCTTGTTGCAATTCATTCTGAAAAGCTTCGTGCCCTGTGAACAGATCCTTCATACCAACAGTTTCACAAGGATAAATTTTATTTATATCTGATCTCTTATTTCTTCCCAGAATGATTTTGGTGTTTCATATTAACCAGTCTATCATTATTTTCCCATTTAGCTACCATGCTTGAACCATCTCTGCAGATGTTGGACATTTAGTAGGCACTCTGGCTTTCTACATTCTGTCAGCATGGTGTTATGCTAGTTTGCCTCCTTTCTCTGGGGTCGATTCCAGTCGGTGGTGATTGGGGAGGAGAGGTCCCTAGTATGTGGGGTGCCACAGGATTCAGTGCTCTCTCCTCTCCTATTTAACATCTACATGAAGCCGCTGGGTGAGCTCATCTGTCGCCATGGAGTGAGGTATCATCAGTACACTGATGATATCCAATTATATATCTTGGCCTCTGGCAAATTAAGCAATGCCATGAATGTCTTATCCCGGTGCCTGGAGGTTGTAAGGGTCTGGATGGGGAACCACAGGCTTCAGCTGAACCCTGGCAAGACTGAGTAGCTTTGGGTTTTGGGACCTACTGGTTCTAGGACTATGCCATCTTTGGTGCTGGATGGGATTGCATTGCCCTAGACAGACCCAGTGCACAAACCGGGAGTCCTCCTAGACTCACGACTCCTGCTTGAAGACCAGGTAGCAGTCGTGGCTAGGAGGGCCTTTGCACAGCTTCGTGTTGTATGCCAGTTGCGCCTGTTCCTGGATCAGGACGTTCTGTTCATAGTCACTCATGCCCTAGTCGCCTCCAGATTGGACTACTGTAATGCGCTTTACATGGGGCTGCCCTTGAAGAGTATCCGGAAGCTTCAACTGATGCAGAATGCAGTGGTACGGGGAGTTATGCGCACTCCCAGAACTGCACATGTCACACTTCTGCTCCATGAGCTGCATTGGTTGCCAGATTGCTTCCAGGTTCAATTCAAGGTGCTGGTTTTAACCTTTAAAGCCCTTCGTGGCATGGGACCGGGTTTTCTGAAGGACTGCCTCTCTCCAATTACATTGGCCTGTCCAATTAGACCTGGCAGAGAAGGCATGTTACGGGTACCATCTGCTAGGGACTTACATTTGGTGGATCCCAGGAGGTAGGCCTTCTCTGCCATGGCACCCCCTTTATGGAATGAAGTCAGATTAGCTCCATCCCTGTTAATGTTCCAGAAGTCCCTCAAGTCCTGGTTATGTCATCAAGCCTGGGGCCCCAGGGAACAGGAGACATTCTAAGATGGTTCCACTATTGTGGTTGATATATTCACTCTCTCTGTGCCTTGTGTATATTTTTGTGAGCCACCCAGAGTCCCGCATTAGGGGGAGATGGCCAGGAATAAATTTAATAAATAAATTAATTTTTAATAATATTTTAATTTTTAATAATGATTTCTTATATTTTTATAATGATTGTTTTTATATATTTGTTTTATTTGATTGTTGTACGCTGCCCAGAGTCACTTCCTGTGAGATGGGTGGTTATTTGTTCAATAAATAAATAAATATTGAATCCAAAGTATCATTGCATTATCTTATGAATCTGCACTGGTGCCCACCAGAACACAATGCACCAGAGGGGTTATTTCTCCTCATAGAATTTCTTTGCC